AATTGACTCATCCAAACAAAATATTTTAAGAATGATAGAAATTGAAATCAAAGTAATTCAAATACCAAGAATTTAAAATTCCTTGAATTTGTAAAATTTTTCATCCAAACACACTATTAAGATTTGTATTTTTTTATTATATCTATATTAATAAAAATGTAATAAACAAAAAATACAATAAATTAATATTCATTTATTAATAAAACTAAAAAAAAATCAAATAAGATAAGACCTTCCAAAATCCTTCTTTGATTTGAATTTATCCAGTTCAAAATCTTGACTAAAATGTCGCAATATGATTCAAAATTTGAAAATAAAAATTCATAATATATCATAAATTCAAAGACAGAAATATGGTTCAGAAATTGAAAACAAAAATTCAGAACATAACATATACTAAAAAAGTTCAAAGAAATTATTTCACTCTAGTTTGACTAACAATGAAATAAAACTTTTTACCATTGTCCTTAGTGATACACTGTATAGTTCAAATGTTTAGCAATTGAAGTTATTTTAAGATAGTCACTTATCATTTATTTATGGTTAAATATCTCTTTTCGTCCCTGATAACAATTTTTTGTTTCAATTTAGTCTCACTTTAATTTTAGGTCTCAATTTGGTCCCAATAATTTAAATCATTGCAATTTGGGATTTTTATCTAAATGATTTAATCGGAGTTAACTGGTGGCCATGTGGATGTCACGTAGGTGGATCCTAAAATAGTTGAAGACACCTGGAGCCAGAACGGCCCGTTCTGAAACCAGAACGGCCTGTTCTGAAACTAGAACGGGTCGTTCTGGTTTCAGAACGGGCCGTTCTGGTTCCAGAATTTCGTGCACAAAAAAACTACTGTACAAAGCATTTCAAACACTAGATTTGGTAATATTATTAATGGAGATTGATAACTTCAATTGCTAAACATTTGAACTATACAGTGTATCACTAAGGACAATGGTAAAAAGTTTTATTTCATTGTTAGTCAAACTAGAGTGAAATAATTTCTTTGAACTTTTTTAGTATATGTTATGTTCTGAATTTTTGTTTTCAATTTCTGAACCATATTTCTGTCTTTGAATTTATGATATATTATGAATTTTTATTTTCAAATTTTGAATCATATTGCGACATTTTAGTCAAGATTTTGAACTGGATAAATTCAAATCAAAGAAGGATTTTGGAAGGTCTTATCTTATTTGATTTTTTTTTAGTTTTATTAATAAATGAATATTAATTTATTGTATTTTTTGTTTATTACATTTTTATTAATATAGATATAATAAAAAAATACAATAAAAGCATGAAGTTAGCATTCTGGAACGGCCCGTGCTGAGTTCAGAACGGCCCGTGCTGAGTTCAGAACGGCCCGTGCTGAGTTCAGAACGGCCCGTGCTGAGTTCAGAACGGCCCGGTCAAGGATGACTATGGACATGGTGAATTATTGGAGATGACATAGAAAGTTGCATCTTGTACACCTGATCTATAGTCTTTCCTTATAGAAGAATTACGCCTATTGTCATACTTTTTACCTCAAAAATTGCAAAGGGAAAAATTCAACCTAGACTAAATTAGTTTGTATAATTGAGAAATAAATGTAAGATTTTGTGTAACAAAAGGAACATGTGTAACAACCCAATTTTCACAGATTGTACGATGGCCTAAAGCCCAATAAGGGTTATGTAGTAGCCTAAAATGGGTCGTTCTCAGATTGGAACGGGTCATTTCAAACTACTAAAACAAGGGTGATTTAGTAGCCCAGAACGGGCCGTTCCAAAATACAAAAATTGTCTACAAATTTTAGATGGGAACGGGGCGTTCCAATCCACCAAAAAGGCCTATAACCCTAGTTGGGAATGTGTCGTGCCAGATATGGCCGTTATAGGTTAAATGCAACCCTAGAATGGGTCGTTCTAGTTTAAGAACGGGCCGTTCTGGATGTGAAATTTTACACATGCCGTCAGAGTCCAGAACGGGCCGTTCTAGCGATGCCTGATGCCTATAAATAGAGCACTTTGGCACTCCCAAAAAGCACACCTTTTAGTTCTGACTTCTTTCAGTTCTGACTTCTTTTCCTTCTACATTCTCTGAAAACCGAAGGGAACCCAGAGGAGGAGACCAACCAGATCCTGCTCTAGTTTCAGTTACTGCTTATCGAGGTACGGGGCTAGGGAAATCCTTAGGTAATAGAAAAAATTCTAGTAGTGATTTATTTGACTTGTCAACTAGATGGTTCCATCTAGATGTGGTGTCTACTATTCATCTTATAAATATATATAATAAGTTACAAAACTTTATGCACGAATCGGTAGAATTCAATTGATAATACAATAACGTCCGAAAAAGAAAATAGAACGAAATAAAATAACTATTAATTAAACAAGCAAAAACGGATACAAAATATGTTTTTTGATGGAATACTCATGTTCGTACGAGTTTTGATGAAAAAGTTTTTGTAAAATTAACAATTTTGAAAGAAAATACACGATGAAAGAATACAATTTAATTGATTGAGTAGTTTTTTTTTTTTTTTTTTTTT